TATTAGGCGTTTTTCCTGTCTGAATAATCTTTGAGTTTTTTGGGTGTACCCGATCAGGACAATTTAAGAAGCACATGGGGGTGTAAACTGTCAAGCGAGGATGCTTACTTCTCCAAAGGACCTGATCCAACCTTTGTTTTAGAGGACTGTGTTGGCCGAGTTCATAACTCTTATTCATTAAAATGGTCTACTGGGAAGAACACGGTTCTTCATCTTCACATATCATTATTAATTGCTTAAATTTTAGATTAAGATAATTTCAGCAATACTCTGAAGAATTTCAATTCCTTGTCTTGTGGATATAAAGATGAAGAAAAGGAATTTTATGATCATTAGAGGTAACTTTCTATACAGGGTGATTTGCCTCCTTGACAAGGTATTCACTTACATTTATGATTTCATTAAAACAGTTTTATTCATTTTTTATGTGCAAGGAAGATATAACAGTATTGTAACAGATTAGGAAAAATTGGAATTTCTGCAAGTAATTGCATTCTGCAGAATAATTGATGATATAAATTTTGGTCCTTATTTGATGTGAAGTCTTGTCTTTATGAAATTTTATTAAGTTTTGATGGCAAGCCTCTTCGTACACCTTTGTTAATTGTCCCCAAAAACGAAAGCAGGGTCATAAAATAGACCATTGTTTTCTTTATTGCGCGAAACACAAGAAAAGAAACTAAAATTTTGACATTCTTCAAATCGATATCCTCTATGCAAATTAAATGAAAAATTTGAAAGTATATTGGATTGGATTACGAAGCATTTTAATAATTTCTTTTTTTCTGGTGGATCGCACGTCAATTTAGAGATGCCATTCATGGACAGTCACTTCTTGTATATATCAGAATTTCAATCTTAAGCGAGCCTTCTTATGACTTAGGATCGGTCATAAACAATAACTTGAAACACAATATTTTCATTTGCTGGCTTGTCTTATTGTCCTGATGGCAGGGTGTTTTGTAGCTGAACCCTGATCCTATGCTAGATAAGTGTATAACAGGCCAAAAGTCAGCTAATAAAATATTTCCCAAGATAGCGCTGATGACTTATGAGGTAGGGGTAACAGTCCCTTATACCACTATTGACCCGCCTTACAAAACTGGTGCATTTTTTGTAATCCTTTATATGATCGCTTACAGTTGCGGTTTGTATAAAATGTCAATGTTTATGGGGAACCATTTTGTGGATCAGCAGAAGTTAATTTTGTCGAGATGCTTTATGAATATTGTATCTCTGAGATTTATTGCTCTGGGAATTTATGTTGTCAATATGTTTTCACTCTCCGTGTAGATAATGGATGATAGGAATACTTTTTAGGACTTCTAAAAGAAAGTTAAATTTTTAAAAACGTTCTTTTAATGACGCATTCAAAAAAATTCATAACATAAATGCATTTACGTACATTTATCGTCCAATCATTACAGATACAATGGCAAATATTGTTTTCACACTTATCGATGCAGTGAGCTAGCTAAACGAATTTCGTCGATATCGGTGGAGATTAGAAATCTTGGAAGTTAAATAAACACTAAAAGAAAAAAAAACTACATATATATACCAGTACATCTGTATGAAAAACAGGATACATTTCTGAAGTACATGACGTACATACATGTTGGCATCTTAATGTACATGAATTTAAAGTCTTATGAAATTTAATTTTAACAAAGTGTTTGAAACAATTAGCTTTGAAATAAAAAAAATTCTCTAACTTAATTTTTCATTTATAAATTTGATCCATTACTTTCTTATGATAATCATTCCTATCTTTTCGATAATGACTGTTCGAAGATTTCTATGATATTGTTGTCTTAACCGGACTAAAAAAAGTAAAAAAAAAATAAAAACAACAAACTTTTTTTTCAAAGTCTAAATTTGTTTCTATATGTTCAAAATAGAATAAAAAGTGTATAGATGAATGTAAAGCTTGGTTTATTTGATGTATTATTTACAAGAATATGTAATAATAACAACGATCTGACGTGCAAGAGTTAAAACATGAAAATGAAAGTTATTGACAGGTAATATTTTCTTCACATGAAAAACTACAATATTTTGAGACACTACTACCATCTTTGGCATATTTTATTTCATTTCCATTCCCTCCTTTTGAACAATTCTTAATATTAACTTTTTTTTTATCAGAAGTGTTCTCTGAAATACATCTTTGGAATTAAAAATTTCTATAATGGAAGATAATTTTTTAAATTTATCTTATACATTTTTCTTTTAATGTGGAAGAACATTGCATAAAGTTTCCAGCTCGGTGAGAGTTCTTACATGTAGTATACCCAAGTATATACTACATGTACATGTATGTGGACAGTCTTTCTGAAAGATATTCTTTATCTCATATGCAAAATACAATAAAACTTGTGAAGCATTGCAGCACAAAGAGAATTCTGCGATATGGTTTTTGTTCAAACGACGAGAAAATTTGAAGAAGTATAAAACTCTAGACGTAACAATAAAACTCCAGTAAAAGAGTCGTTTTATGGGGGTTTATGGAAAGTGACCTATATCTGGGTGTTTTATATAATGTTTACTGGCACCCATGCTGTTCTATAAACACCGGTCTTAAAGACGACTAATGTTAAAAGTTCTGATTGCCAAAAAGTTAATGTAATTTCATAATTATATGTTAAAAAAAAGAAATGCAGTTGAAAATAATAATTGTATACTATTTTTGCTAAATAATTCAGCAAACCAAAACTAAAGTTAGAAAAACCCTGAAAACTAAAAAAAAAAATTGTGAATGAAATTAAAGTTTTGTAAGCTACCACATATTTTTTTAAAATGAAATTTGTGTATTGGTTTATAGAGCACTGATTTCCTCTTTTTCAGTTTTGCTGTTTTTTTTTTTTTTTTCAAAAAGAGTAATGATGCAAATATTAAAAGAAAATGTCATGGTTACGTCTAAACTTATATAAAGAGCAATATACTAAACTTACAAAAAACCAGAAACAATTGCTATCTTTAATATATGTTTACAATGCATTGAAAGAATTGGCATTTTTTGGTATCTGAGAAGTTTCATATTCCCTATTCTCTGTTGAAAACGTTGAAAATAGTATATATTTGTTCTAATTCGTACTTAGTAGTTTTTTCTACAAATTATATCTCAAATTCTCGAATGATTTAAAAAAAAAATTTTGGCTGAAAATATGAGAATAACTGTGTAAAAAAGTTTGGACATTTTTTAAAGATCAACCTAAAATTACACTCCGTTGCTTGGTAACAAAAATAGCATCAGATTGAAATGTTATTTTATTGCCGAGATCGTGATAAAATGAAGTATATCCAGTTTTTGTTGCAATTTAAGAATAAAGCGATGATAAGTTGAAATATTCTGAGAGATTCTTTCAAGACCACCAAGTAAAAATGACAATAAGGCGAATCTTTGTTTCAAGATGTTAGAAAGAAATGAATTTTAAAGAATTACTAATACTAATGAAGAAAATCTTGTTAATTAATCTTGATTTTATTTTTCAGTTATCATTGATTGGATCGTTTTTGCTGTTTTTTTTTCCCTTCAATTGATTGCTTAATTTTAATATCAGAAAATATTCGTTTAATTTTTTTTGTTTTATATATTTTTTAAATAAAAAAAGAATTCTGAATCTGATAGAGGACAACACGTGAAGTAACGATGAAAACAGAACTTTCTCGGAAATGGATTATATCAAGGATATAGTTATACCATATTCAATATCTATATTAAAGAACTCCCCTCAGAAAGCTAGTTTAAAAAAAATTGTCTTTATTAAATCAACTATTTTTTTATGAATAAAATGAAATATATAAATTGATCAGAAAAAAAAATCTTGATCTGGATATTATCAGTGCACGTGCATTTGTTTACATAATACAGGAATCTCGTCACAATCGGTTTCCATTGACCTGTTCGCAGATGGCGATTTACTATGACTTATACGGTATTCACAGACACGTATTCCTCCCAGAAACGAAATAAAATATTATACAGTTGACATTTATTACGTATGTAAATGCAGGTTGAAATGGGTTAATCAATCAATTATAGACACAACATACGAAAAAAAACTTCTGAAAGAACATGTTCACCAACGCATATATTTTAGCGTTAATTCTGATAAAAATTTTTTTTTAGGTCTAAAGGTCAAAGTTGAGAAATCTTAAATCAAACTAAAGATTCATTGATAAAGAGATAATCAAAACATGTTTATTATGCAGATTACTTCCTTTAAGCTATAATGTTAATTATATGGAGACATTTGAATGCAATGAACATGTAGAATGGGGGACAACCTCTTCTTAAAGAAACGATGCACATTCTGCAAAGATTTTTCTTAGAAAACACGTGTAATTGTTTTGAATTTTTGAAGTTAATGTTTTTTTAAACGCCTTGTTTAAAATTAATTCACAGTTTATGACATTAACAACATACCAATAGGCAAGGAAAAAATTATCTTCATCTCCATTTAAATGCAGTTTAGAAATTGTTTTAGCAAGTGCTCTATTGAAATATTAATTTTTATTGGCGAACAGTTACTTTACTTTCCTGGATAATTGATTATAAACTTCAGCAATAAAACCACGATCTTATTCGGTTTTCCGCGGCAAAAAATCATAAAAATATTCTTTAAAATATAAACCAGCACTTAAATGCATTCAGTTGCGTTTTATGTCAATTTTATTTAGATTTGAGTGCCGAAGAAAATCAAGCGCTGCTCTTGATACCTGCCTCCCTTACATGTTTCTCTACTGACAGTCTTACTTTTTCTCACTAGTATAGACGCCATCAAACTTTGATTGCATCGCGGCCATTATTCTGGATGTTTTCCTCATTCAAACACAAAGTAGCGATTGAGAAATAAAACATCCCATAAAAGACGATAAAATTGTCATCAAGCGAACCCGATGCAAATTGTGCGATCTTTAGTATTCCCCCAGTACCCCTATTTATTTTCAAATTGTTCCCTAAATTCATCAAGGTATTAAAACATTCTAAATCTTACCTTAGCAAAGTAAGGTGATGCAGGGCTATGTAGATCGGTCCCACAGCTTCCAGCAGTCTACAACCAGGCAACACTACCAAGCAACTTAGGATGTCTCTAAAATATTCACCAAATGGGATGTTACTTTTTAAAAATGCAAGTTCATTGAAAGTTGTCTCTAGGGAGATTTATAGCAATGCCGTGTTCTATTGAGTCTAATTATATCTTAGACGGTGATGCAGTCTAAGCATTGAAAAGAAGAATACGCCTAAAGAAGGCGAATTCGATATTAGCAAAAGTACGTGTTACTGTGAAAGTCTATATCAAATTTCTCACTTTTTATGCCTCACCTCCGTAAGATTCTAAATAGGGGCCAATATTGGTTGCTTACATATTAATTGAATTCAGCGGAGGGCGATTTTCAAGATGGATGCGATAAGGCCACTTAGACCATTTCACGACGAAAGATTGTGTATTACTACGCTACGTTCGTTGCCACCCAAACATTGATTAGGCTTCATTAATGCATTATTCAAGGCAGAGAAAACGAATTCTTAAATGGCTAATGAAAAGTCATGAGAATAAAATGTAGGTGACATTTTATTAACATACTTTGATTAAACGGAATAATGATTTACATGTATACTTAAAATTGTATATAAAAATGTGAGTTATTGTTATCCTATTCTGAATACAATTGTTTTGAAAAAGGACGTGATTATGCATATTTTTATTCAATTTTTCATTACAGGTTATCAAAACATTGCAAGGGTTATCAGTAAATATGCAATGATGAGGATCCGTTCACTTAACGGACTCCAGCCAATAATTTTATTTCATATTTATAACGCACACAACGCTTAAATTTATTGCAACGATGCATTTTATGAGAAGTTGAACGTAAAATGCATATAACTCCAATAGTTAAATTAATCTAATGAAGTCTATCAGACTCCTGTGCTTTGGGCAACCTCAGATATGATGAAAGATACACAGAAATCGTTTATTTTCTACATGGTTTTAAGTGTGAGAGCGTTATTCAACTTTATCACAGATTTATTTCTTTTGTCTGGTAATTAAATCGTAAAGTATTTGGGAATTAGCAAATAAAATAAGACTGGTAATCATAAGATCGGAGGATGATCCAGAAATAAAGGGCTACAAAATTATCCATATAACTCACGGCTAACATAAAATTTTGATTTTATGTTTACAATTCCTTTATAACCAAAGACAACGCCGAGGTTTTGTGCACACAGAAAATCCTGTAGTTGAACTGCAATGTCAACTGAAATTCTTATCTGCATATATATGCATTTTTAAAAATTGAAAATGTCTTCAATATTTATGAATGAGTAATGGAATTTAAGGAGCATAGAAACACTGTCTGGAATATAATACACGTAGCCCTAGGAAATATGTCGTTGTTTCTTCTGCTTGTTTGAAAATGTGTTTCTTGAATATGTTTATCTTGATGGAATATTCTTCATTTCTCCCATGAACTTTGGATGCTAAGTGTTACTCAACGAAGTACAATTTTTGTGAGCAAAGAGCTCGAGGATTATGATTTTCTTTCTACAAGAGTGTATTTGAAAGAATGGAATTGAGTACGTGGCTACCTTTGTACAAATGTTCTAATATTTAAGATTTTAGGTATATATGTCAATGTAGAACCAAATCTACATTCTTAATCTTGACTAAAATGTTCATCTTTTAAAATGTTGAAAAAATTGATCAATATACATAAAATAATATTAAACTAAATAAAATGAAATTTAAATCATATACTTTAGAAGGAACTTGCAATTTTTAATATATTAAAAAATCATTAAATAAATTAAAATATTTCTTTTTATGTTGACTCCAATTTAGGAAACATTGTACTTCACACCAAATAGAACAAGAATATAAAAAAAGGTCTTTCGTCAATTAAAGTTATTAACTTAGAATTTTCTTGACATTCAAAAGTATCAATGAAATTAAATGATGGAAGTAATATTCTACAAGATAAATACAAGTTCACTTTAGTTTCCTAAGAATACACGTCATAAATGTCGAGCATTGCGTGTTATTTATATTGCATGAAAATTGATCGTTTGGAAACTAGCATATATTGCATATATTAATGTTTAATTTCTGTTCGAATGAATTGTTGAGTGTAAAATATGTGAAATTTTCTTGCTAATTTTTTCTGAAAATTTTTATTAAAAATCTGTTGAAGTGATTGTTGAAAAAAATATTTTACATAAGCCTGAAAACGTCTAGACTTACTGAAAAAAAGAGAAAACGACATTGTGTGACCAATTCCAAATTAGATAATTAACTTTTTTATAAAGTAGAAATATCAAGCTAAAGTGAAATAGTGAAAATGAACATATTTGAATATGAAGACAAATTATTGCATATACATGTATAAACGAATACGTGTCGTGTTTATTAAAATTTCTTGTAGAATAGTGAAATACAGAAGGGTGTAGCAATATCGCTACAGGATTTTCAAAATGAAAAAAAAAATTAAAAAAATTCCCGAAAGTCTTTTTAGGTGAAAAATTTCAGAATTATGAAGAAAGTTAATGAAAATTGATCTATGAATGTTCAAGTTTGATGTATTTTGGGAATGGTTTAAAAAGACAATATGAACCAAAACAAAACAATTGAATTTGATGGTTACTGGAGACAGAATATTGGCGATATTACTATATTAAATATTTACAGAGGAAAGCCTCGGAAATTTCGTTTTTATGACAAGACAAAATTGCGCGCCATGGTCAACCGCGGGTCAAATAGATTCCAGAACCTCCATATGAAATTAGTTTTACCCGTGGTCCAAAATTTTACGACCGACCAATGATAAAAGACATAAAAACGAGAGAGGTACCTAATTAGAGACAGAGCTAATTAATCGCCTGAACACCGTGAGAACATGTGTGTGAGTGTTTGTTTAATTGTTCTAACTATCTACTTTTAATCAGAAACCCAGGCCGTGGACCGGCACAGCCCCCCTCTCGGCATTCCCGGCATATAAACATGTTTACAATCTATCTGATTGGAACATAAACTGGCCATAACTTTGTCATCAAAATTTGTCCCAGCTTGCGTAATTTGGCACTTTGAGGAAATCCATGCTAAGCAAGATTCAATTAGGACTAATTTCTTACGTAAAAGCTGAGAGAAATCAAAATTTTAAACAAATCTGTAGTTGTTTTTAATTGAGTAACTCCTATACATTTATTTTTAGGACAGGAAATTAAATAAGTCCTAGATTGATATCAATCTTAAATTTGTGTTTAATAAATACGTTCATAAAAATAACATTTAATAAATCAAATCTATAATTTAATTGTAGAAAATCATTTAATAAAAAATCTTAAACACGTTTTTATATATTTATCCTATGTCAATTTTCAACGGTCCCCTTGATTGCCTGTAGACAGAGTCAAAAATATTTCTGCATAAAAAATCAGTGATATTTTAGCCAATGAAAATTTAATGTAAAATTCAGAGTTCAGATAAAGGACCCACCACAGTAAGCGTAAATCACTCATATCTCTCACAGCTAGCTGGAGGCAGCCATAACGGGCTGGAACAGAAAGAACGTCATAGGGTGTCTTGGGGTCCAAAAGGGGGGTGGAGGACATGGTATTTTAAAGAGAAACAGGGAAACATTATCTTGACGTTTAGACGTCTCCTCTACAATTCATTGCAAAGACATATTGAGAAAATAAACAGTTGTTTCCATTTTAGTATGAAAAATGGGAGTTGCTATTGAAAGTAAATTACCTCATTTTTGTGGATAAAGTCCAAATTTGTCTAAAGGATCCTGACACTAGAATGAAAATAGAAATAACCCAATATGATGTCCTCTCAGTATAAAAAAAAAAAGTAATGGTATTTGTTGCACCTAAATCTCCAATCCTAAAAAATAGAGTTTAAGATTTTTATTAATTATATAATATTCAAACTGCATTCATTTCATTTAAATTGCAAAATATAAATCTTAATGAATATGTAACATATGGGAAAAGAATTCTTTAAATAACTATCTTGATATATAATGAGAATAACTTAATGTAAACATATTCCACTGCTGAAAATTTAAAACTTGGTTACTCTCTGGAACACAAAGCACGGGCCGTAAATCTCGGAACTGTTTTTCATCTGTGCATACTAATTGTCACCTCCAGGAGCGAACCATGTTGGTGGTTCCTGTGACGTCATCAAAGTCATTGTTTGGTGTCTGTTATAAAAAAGAAAAATATGTATACTAAAAAGTACTCCAAAAAAAGAACTATTACTGTTCATAACAAGTACTAAAACAACTATAATTTCTAAATAGAAAAGGACTATTGAAAGAAAGTCTAGGTATTGAAACGACTTCAGAAAACAATTACTTGTATAAATTAAAAGAAATTTACAGAAAACAACTTTCCTTTAAAACAAAAAACCAAGAAAACAATTTAGTTTATCAGTAGTACGACAGAAAGAGCTCTTCTAGTTAAATAAGTACCTAAAAATAAATTATAACACGTTTTTTACAAAAAAAAAAAAACAAACAAACAACAATGAATGTTACAGTAGAGTAAATGACATTGCAAATGTAATTAAGTTTATATTCTAACAAGTTACCCAGGTATAAATTTGTATATTTATTTATTGACAGGGAAATATGGTCACCAGTCAAATGCAGAGACAAGTTTTTTTTAGTAAACAATCTAAGTTTATACAATACTTATATAAAGTACTTCAGTAAACAACTATAAAGTTGATAACATGTACTTGTACACGAGAGAACTACTGCAGATTATAAGATGTAATTCAGAAAACAATTAATTGCCTGAATTAATTTTATTTAAAAAGTAAACGTATAAAATAAAGTATTTTGTAAGTATTGAAAAAAGAAATTACCAAGTAACTGCACATTCACTTATTTAACCAGTGAAAACTTTGGTATGAAGTACATATGGATATGCTGATAAATAAACACAACTAATTCCTCTTTGGAAAGCTGTGCTATTTTGGCTTGAGATTTGCATTATTGTGACAATTAAAATGGCAGAGAGTTTTTCTAAATCTTTTATTTTGTCCGGCTAAAGGAGAACAAGAAGTAAATGTGCAAGATATGAATAAAGTTTGAAAAATATTGCTTTAATTAACAAAAGTTATATTAATTCGTATGTTGTCTTGATATATCCCATTGAACTTGAACTGAGAGATATACCATAGACTTTGCCACATCTCTATTATAATCGAAGTTTTACTGACAAAAGACGATAAAGGTAAATTAACAACTGAATTGTATGAAATACGTGGAGAAAACAGCAGTATTCGAGCTCAAAAGTCCATCAAACTTCATAGAATAGTATCAGAGTAAAACGGATCTCCAAAACATCAGAGGTGGTAGCAGGTGTCATTGAAAAGTGAGCATCCCTTACCGACCGGTCACACCCGCCGTGTGCTCCTTTCCTTGATCGGAAAATAACGGGAAACATCCGTGGACAACTCAGTGTGCAAATAATGGCCTAACAATCAGTATGACAAAAATTCAGTCAGCATTTGAGTGAATGATAAACTGTATTTGCTGACAAGGTCATTGTATCTGCAATAGAACTTACATGTATGAAATGATGACTCTATACGAGACTGCTGATCTGATGACTTTGGCTTTTCCATCGTCATATTTCCTTATTAATGTAGTAATATTCTACTATCACCATTTTTAAAAATAGTTTATGTTCAATACATATTCGTTACTAAAGAGCTTGTACTGAGTACGATAATTTTTTAGCAAGGCATGCTACTCACTGGTAAGTTGATGCTACAGAAATTCCAACGACATATTTTAAAGTCGGTAATTTCATGGTACTTACAATTTCCTTGTTCACAAATATAACCTTTTACTTTGTTTCATACCAATTATTAGGCCTATATTCTTGTTCTGAATTGTCTACGGAAAGTTCAATACACAGGTCTCATGGCAGGTGTGACAGGTCAACAGGGGGTGCTTTCTACTCCTAGGCACATGATCCCACCTCTGAATTTTCCAGCCTAGGGGTCTATGTTTCATGCCTTCTTCACATATTTGTATTCTTTTTTGAGCTTTATAAAATCTCCCTTTTTGAGTAATCTACCTTTTACAATTTCCACTGAAGTCCTGTTTCAATAATTATATGACCTAAACGTATTTGGGAATCTTTCCATTTGGCTTTCTTTGAGTGATATTTGTTTTGAGTACATCTTCGCTAGCCAAGGGTTTCTGATACGCTACTCTCCTCATAAACCCTTGGCATACGGTGAAGTCAAAAGACGGGATTGTTTTCCGTCACGTGATCTCGAATCTATCAGGTACGCACAGATTGCGTCATCGCCAGAAATAAAGACACGTGTTAAAAAAAATTAAATCAAAGTTTTTTCAAGAATAATTAAGAAGCAATAATTGAGTTATGTTTATTCATTATTCATAGAACAAATCTGAAGCTTCAATATAGATTCTTAATCACATATTTAGAAGATATTGGATGACACCATGGCTATTCATAGAATTGAATGCTATCTTAAGGATCGTTGTTTACTTGCGTTTTTCATTTCCGAGATTAAAGAGTGAAGATGTATCCCGAACGCAAATATCGTCATTTACAAAAAACAATTGCTGATTGGTCGACCTGGGTGTACTGAAATCCAATCAGAACTCTGGAAAAAAATCCCGATTTTTATGAACACCGTAGGCCAAGGGTTTATGAGGAGAGTAGCGTATCAGAAACCCTTGGCTAGCGAAGATGTTTTGAGTAATGAAAATTAAATTCTGGAAATAGAGTATGAAAATTTAATTTTAAATTTTTTGGCGTTTTCTATAAATATCCCGTATTTGGCTTTTATCTGATAAAGGTTAAACATTTCCTGGTCATCTTCGTTTTAAATTAATCGTGCTTTTCTTTGTTACCTTAATTCACTTTACATTTTTACTTTTACCATATTTTCTACTGTTGAAACAAATGCGGGGAGACAGGATCTCCTTTGCAAAAGCCACCTACTATCTTGAAAAAAAATCGTAAAAGTGATACATTCTTGATTTTACACAGCTGACTTGATAATAGATTAAGGAGGCGTGGGGGGGGGTGTCAACAAATTAACCATCAGGTATAACTTAATTTTTCAAGATTTGATATCTTAAGCCGTCAACAATCATTTGGCAAAAAAATATTTCAGATATTTAAGTTTTAAAATTTGATCATTTTTGTAAACACGTGTCTTTATATAAAGCCCCTCTTTTAAAAAGGAGAACAATAGTCTAAAAATGGCCAGAACCACCCAACCCTTTTAATTCAACTACGATAAATAAGAAAGAACAAGAGCAAGGCTTTTAGTTCTTTCTTTGATTTTGTTAGAAAAAAAAATTAAATCAGAAATGAATCCAGGCATATTGATTGGAACACCATAAGCAAAATAACTTTGAAAATATGTATATGTAAGAAGTAAATTCTCGGTGATATAATTCAATTTTATGAACAGGAATTTTGAGGATAAGTACAAAAAAAAAACAAAACAAAAAAAAAAAAACAGAAAAACAACAACAACAACAACAGCAAAACCAATTAAAGGCCTGACAAGTCAGCTGAGAAGGAGACCCAGCCCAGTGATGCTTTATATTTGCTAATAAAATTATTTTAGCTACTATATATTTGCGATAATGTCATTAAACGACCAGAGAATTTACGAATTGCTGACTTCAAAGGTGGTTGATAAAATCCCTGCAACATCAGTATATGTGTGAGTAGCCTGTCGTAGATTTAAGAAAGATTTTTTCTTACTCAGAGTCTAGCAGTTTTAAGGATAGGAGAATCAAAATTTGACTTAACAGTGAATTGGCGAAACATTGGCTTTCTATGGGAGTGTTGATATACTAGTATCAACAATATCCTTGTATCTATTCTTTTGTCAAATAAAGAAGATTCCCTTACATGCATTTAGTTATTACAGACCATCATTAAATTATAAAAAGGAGCTGAAATATTTTCCCCCAGGAACATTAAGTTATAATAGCTATATAAGTATTGAGAAGTCGGCACTTTTGTTGTTTTAGACGTAACGTCAGGAATTGATACTTACAAGAAATTATACTTTTAATTCGTTTTCAGGTTACATTTCTAGTATAGTTCTGACTAGTAGAGAAAAATTATTTCCATTTCAGGAACATCAAATCTATATGCTTTTCAGAATCTATAAATAGTAAAACAAGTCTATATGTTGTTATATACTTGATCATATGATCAAGTTTTAGCCAATCAGAGATCTTAGCATAATAGAGAAAAATAATATTTAATGTTATTTCTCGAACTGCTTTATATGCAATAAATTTTTCCTATTTCAAATGCTTAATATGGAAAGAAAGCAGCTTGTCTTTAAATTTTTTTTCTAGTTAAAAATATTTAATTAGCACTATTATTGCTATACTATTAGTATTATTTTTTCATTGTGGGGTTCAATGTTAGTGGGGAATTCAAATTAAAATTTTATCGGTTCCTTAGAGAATGGGGGTTGGAGGGGGTTACATCGAATTTAACTCGTACACAAGATTTAAGTAACCGATAGGTTGACAAAATTCTCATTCGTTGGAACAAATATTTGGTAATGGGTGACCCATGTTTTTTCCATCCCTTGGAGTGTCACATCGTTCTTTGTCCAGTATTTCATTAATATTCAACTTTATCACTATTAAAACACCATTTGGCCTATTCTAATATTTTACTTCATTTTACATATACATGTACATATATCCTGCATGAGTAACTTTGAAGAAGAATTGCTGTACTAATATTGCCGATTACTAACTCTTTGTTATTTTTAAAATTCTACAGCAAATAAAGTCTATAAACACAAATTGATAGCATTAACGTTATGATGTGAAGGAATTTTATTTTATAGCGTTTTTTGGCCTTCATCTATCAGTTTGAGTTTCATACCTTGTTCAATCTCTTTAGAATCCAAAACTATAAAATACGATGTATAAATAAAAACCCTTTCAAAAGAATTGTTTTGTATACAGTCGCTTAGTTTCTTCTTGTTTCATCTTATGTAAGTACCTGTGCATCAATGACCAAAATCATCTTCAAATATTTCAATATGATTTGGAAAAAAATCTGAAAACTTTATAATACATTGTGTGTTTAAAACTTCATTGATAAAGGTGAGGTTAGAAGAATTTTATGGTACATTGAACGATGTGAGACTGTAGAGAAGGCCAGAAAAACTATAAAACGGCTGTAAAAATTATCACCAGAGGAACACAAGAAATAAAGAAATAAAACATCAAGAAAGATATCATAGGTGTTGAGCTTGAAGGGATTATCACAAGGGGTTGCGAAGAAAGATAAGATGGAAAACAAATTGCACAATCTTTGCTACAGTGTCATTAAGAAATAGGATTGTAAGAGACTCGGTAATAAAATCTATCACATACAGATTCGTTAACTTCATATAAATGAAGACAAAACCCGCCAGAAATTGTAAACAATACATAAATAATAGGACGTGCTTCATTCTAATATTGGCATCCATACAGCTGATCACATTCGTCAAAATTTACAATGCTAAATCATAAATGTTATGACCAAGCTATTTCAGCAAAATCTTCGGTTAAGCAAAACTTTTCCCTATCTACCCGGTAAGTGTGGAAAAAATCCAGAAATTTACTCTTAAGCCAGAATAAAGTGTCATATCCATTATTTATGGAAGTATTGATGTAACTTTCAAACTAGTTTAGATGGGTATTGCCATCTGCAGAGTAATAGAAAGAAACAGTGTTTCCAATCTGTGGTTTTTGTCTCCCCTTTCAATGGAAAAGTAAAACCCTACTTCCCTACTGAAAGGCAACCAAGGTAATAAAAACTGAAAAATAAGCCAATCTTTTGATCAGGCTGAAATCTAAACACAATTAATCCTATCAATATCACAGAGAAAAGGCTGCTGAAAATTACGATTCCTGTTGTAAAGGAGCTTTATTGGAAAAGGCCATAAAAGTGTGAAGTAATGAGATTTATGTAAATGAATACCTATTTTTGTAATAAATCATAGGTATGAGAAAGGATATCACTTATTTTTTATTGCTTGATTAAAGGCCTTTCCTTCGTCCAGTGCCAAACAGCTTATCCGGGCGCGCGCATCAGCCATTACTTTTTGGACAGCCAATCATTTGAGTCGTCTCAGAGAGACAATATACAACGGATTCCATTACAATTAAAGTGTTCAGAACCAGGACCTACGTGTTAGCTACGTACAAGGTGCTGAAGAATAAAAGGAATCTGAATTTTCCGAAATAAAAACGACAAACTTGGATTGATTTATCTCAAAATGGTAGTTTCGAAGCAATTATGTCGAGCATAGCCCATATTATCCGCTATTGTGCAGTATAATTTTACTCGTAATTATTTTAAAAATGGTTGAATAATGTTTTGATACAATACCGACCTTATACAACAAAGGATTAGCAATCGTCTTGCAACATATGCTGGGTTTTCTTGTACAAAGAACAAGAAATGAGTTTGAACAACATAAGTTCAGTTTTTTATTCCAGAATGTTAACCATGTTGTTTGAAATTAAACACCATAATTTGTAATGATTAATAATACATGTTGATTAATATTAACCTGAATTTCTTTCCAGTTATGTTTTTTTATTACACATACCAATATGCATATATATGCAAGATTTTTAAATCATGAATTTTAAATCCTTCCCTTGAATGGAAATATAATTAAAAGTTACCTGTAATTTTTTATTTGTATTCACCAGCAGCAAACAGGCAAACCCTTTGACAGTGCAATACATCATTTTTAAAAACATGTTGTTATCAGCATGTGCAATTTGAAGTAGAGCATTTTAAATTCTAAAACTGTTCTTTGTTTTAATCTTAAAAAATGATTCATATATATTTTCAGTAAGGAAAAAAAGCATTACCAAATGTGTTTAAACACAAAAAAACATTAACAAAGGTGTTTAAATGATTCCAAACGTGAAAAGAAATCACACTTTGAATTCATTAAATGATTGATCTAATGGGCAATCATTTTGGGTAAAGGTAATTTTAGGTAACAATGAAGGATTGCGTTAACATAAATGACACTTGCCTAATTAGCCTTTTTCATATCGTTACCTCTCATTGTATACTGGCTGTTCTATTTAACACGATTCACGCGAGGCTTTTTTCCTTTTATTGACTTTTTTATACTAGTTTTGCAATTAGGCTATTATACTGAGCATTAAAAGACTATCAAATGCAGCACTGAGGTGAAATAAAATTAGTTGATCAACCAAATCCACGGTGAGTCGACATTTCAGTTCGTGTTTACTATGAAAAAGACTTAAGCAAGAATCTTTAGATGGGCTTTACTGATAATATCTTGTTGGGGTTCTATTACAATTTTTATATTTTTAATGAATTCACTTAAAAGTGCTATTATAGTAATAAAGTGTAAATTTTTTGGCATCATGGCACCGGATGAAACCTGAGGAACCCAATTAAAAATTCAAGCCCATCGTATTAACAACAAGATTTTTGTAGAAGACCTAAATCATTCATTGACAAGTATTTTCGGTTAGCATTAAGTGTAGTATTTAATTTTATGTCCATAAATAATATGAGAGGTTGTTGAATCACATTGCACTTACATACTAATAAGGGTGTAAGCATAACGTACATTTTTCGTACGGGAAACACTCCCCTTTTTTAAATCAAGTGAAAATCGTATAACATTTTTGTGCTTTCATTTTAAAACTTTGAAAGAGAATTTAATTCAGTTTTCTAAAAGAAACATTTATATATTTAGTATAAATCTGCCAGGAATTTTTCTAGAAATAATTTTGTAAAAAAAAAAAAATGCACACACAGTTCAAAATGTTTAAACAAATTTTTGCTTATTTCATTTCTTATTTTTAAGATTGTTTTCTTTCAGGAGATAGAAAGGATAGTGTTTCGCTTATTTAAACTGATAATATATATTTCCTAGAATTAACTCTTTATAGCTGAGTGTCGAATCTATAATTTTGCCTCTACCCCTCGATTCCTTAAAAATTTCCATGAAATACATGAGAAAAACGAGCAATATTCAAGCACAGAAGTTCATCATACAATACAAATTTTGGAGCAGAGCAACACGGACCTCATTGCTTCTTAAGTAAGGGAAGTTGACGGCTGAAGTGTTGAAGCCATCACCTTTATCATTAAGCTTGGTTTTGAATTACCATAAAGGTCATTTTCCAGTAAAATATCCAAATATGAAACAGATGTGCCAGACTCTATGGTATGTTTTATTTTAAACTCACCTCGATATTTCGTATCGACATAAGTCTGGAAATAACCATCATGATTGTTAATTGACAATAGGTCGTCGATATATCTCAATTTCAGGTTGAAGGCCTGGAAATACAAAGGTTTAATATGAAAGCCTTATCTCTTCCAATTCAGAGTTCATGACCAAGAAAAAACGTTTTTGAAAAGAAGGTCAAACTTTAAGGTCAAGGTCACGAGATCAAAGATCATAGAGTTTTAAAGAAAGTCTTGTCAGGTAATACACATATTAATATGAAAGCCCTATCTCTTCTCATTCAAAAGTTAGTTATGGCTAATTCAGAAAAATCTTAATCTTTTTAAAGGTCAAACTTTAAGGACAAGGTTGCCGGGTCAAAATCATAGTGTATTTAGAAAGCCCTTATCACAGATAATATACATTTGTGTAATATGAAAGTCATATTTCTTCTCATTCAAAAGATAAGACTAAAGTTAAATTTTTAAAAAGTCGGTAAAACTTCAAAGTCAAAAGGTCAAAATTAATAATGTATTATATTAAGAAAGATCTTGTCACGGGTAATACACACCTCCATAATGAAAGCCCATCTCTAAACATTCTACAGTTGTGGCTAATTCAAAGTAATGTTTAATTTTTTTTAAATAGGTCAATCTTCATGGTCAAGAAGTCCTTACTTTGGTATCAATATATTTAATTTGCATTTACGAAAAGCTTCATCTTCGGTATGTTGCCGTATGGGGGCATCAGTGTTTCACAAAAACATTTCGTTTTGGGTAATCATTAAAGTACTTCGGTAGGCGTGATTATTTTTTTTTGCAAATCAGTACAGAAAAATAGAGACGAGGAAAGATTACCGAAATTGAGATTTTGCTACTACTTTAAAAAAAAACAACTTAATTTATTTGCGACGACTTTATGTCGCGATTTCGCGAAAATTTCTCGCACACGAATAAAAGTTGGTTTACAGTATGTACTAGAATATGTATCTAATGAATTAAGTTTTATTCAGACATGTTTATAAACAGTGACGGATATACACACTTTCTAGTGCTTATGAGGACGATAGAAAATCTGATATAATTATAAGGTAGAAATGTATTGCGTGAATTAATGTACTCTCTTATGCAGCAATATACCTTCATCACCTGCATACGGAGTTTATATATATCTCAGATGACTCGATATGCAAGAGCTTGCTCTACGTACGGACAATTTCTAAAACGAGATAAATTATTGACAAACAAGTTGATGTAAAAAGAATTTCTGCACCTATTTTGTATTGTTTAAAGTTTTAATCTTGAATAATGTTTGTTATATCCATATGTTTCATTTATTATTGTGAAGACAAATATAATTTATCATTTATTTTTGATTTGGCGATTGTTTCATACATAATACAATATATATTCTATTAATCGTTATAACATAACTCCTTATAAATCTTATATTCTTATAAACCTTATCCTTATAAACCTTATATCCGTATCCTTATAAACCTTATATCCTTATCCTTATAAACCTTATATCCTTATCCTTATAAACCTTATATCCTTATCCTTATAAACATTGAATGTTTATAAAGTCGCTGTTTGCTCTGCACCTATTTTGTATTGTTTAATGGACTTTTAATCTTGAATAATGTTCGTTATCTCCATATGTTTCATTGATTATATACTCATAAATACACAATATTAAGCAAATGCCTTAGCAATATATGTATGTATAAAAATGAAAATTCTGATATGATAACCTAAGATTTTGAAAACGCACTTTGGTTATATATTCATAATTTTTTGAATAAATTGAATATAAGCAGTGAAAATTTTAGATTATAGGTATTAATACAAGTTGATGCAAGATTAAGACCATTCAATCAGGATTTAGATACTAGTATACAAAAATAATCATCTTATTTTGAATAAATAAGGACCCCTTTTTTCATATTTTATCTTGTTAGTTGTTCGATAATTCTGCCAGCATGTCTAAACTGTGTAAGTTGCATAATTACCGAACCAGATTGGGCTGAAAATAAAGAAAGAGAACGCCACTAGGACCTGTTTAAGGAAAGATGCAGGTATTTTTATTTATTTGATTTAATAGCTGCAATTTTGTATTGTCTTATGGACTTTGATATTGAATACTGTTCGTTATCTCCATATCCTTCTGCATGTGTTACCTCTTTCTTTTAATTAGAATTTATTTTTATAACTTTAATGCATGGTTATAACATATTTGTGCAAAGAGTGTAACTATACTTGGACATGTTAGTTCATTAGGATGCAGCTTCGTGCGGTTATTTGCGGTAAAAATTGGCATGAAAGAGATTCGCTTACAGTTTATCTCTGTATTTTGTAAAATACTTTGCAACATATGTTAAAGCTTTCCACACATTTAATTTACAAACATCTGTGTTTGAAATGATTTATGAAACGGTTATTAATCTGATTTTTTTTTTAATCTTAAGAGACTACAAAATTATTTTAAAAATTTTAATTATGGACCTCTGAGGAAAATTTACGCACATGCATATATCAAAGCAATTAGATAAGTTATTGTTTAGATCTTGTTTTCTCAAAATTTACCTTTCACAGTGACATGACTCCTACAATTACATTACTGATTACTTCATTTAGAAGTGTGTTTCATTACACCTGAAGTTTTTATGTATAAAAACACTAGACCTTTGAGCAATTACAAATTTGTAATTTGAAAAAAAAATGCTTTTACATGTTCTACAAATTCAAAAATTTGAAAAAAAATTCATTATAATATATTTTTATTGCAAAATGATTCCCATTTAAGAAGTCATGGAACAACAAAGAGTGATAAATACTGTATTGTGTCGCATTAAAAATTCAGAAAAGAAAAAAAAATTACGATACTGGAATTTACGTAAAATACCACTAAATAGCTTGACATGTGCTTAAATTGCACAGGTCTTTTTCCTCCTTTTAGATAATTTGTATTGAGAAAAATTGTGCTCCGAAATTTAAAGTAAAAGCAACCTTAACATTGGGTTTTAAGATACTAGTATTGAGTAGCTATAGTACTCGTCAACACTTCTTTTTGTGTTTTAGGCACATGATCCCTCTATAGGTTTGGGTTTCCCATGCCTTTAGGTACGCCACCTGTGGTGTTTACAGGAATTGCCTTTATTCAGAAAGCATATAGTTTACAGAATTGAGGATCAATTATAGCACTCTTCGCCGTTTTCAAATTAATTTTTAACATTGCTCTTCATTTTTGTTAATATTTCGGACTTCTAGACTCAGAAGTCCTATAAACAATACAGATTTTAGAGAAGAGCTATGGCGGACCTCTAAAACATCAGAGATCAGAGATCAGATGCCACGGAGGAATGTGCATCCCCTGCCGACCGGTCACACCGATCATGTGTCTCTTGTCATAATCGGACAATGACGAAAAATCCATCGAAAATTGAGTGTAAATAATTATCCAACAATAAGTATGTTTAACGTCAGTCAGCTTTTGATTTATTGATTGATTTTTTTTGCTGACAAAGTCATTGTATGGACCATAAAACTTACGAAATTATGCTTTTGTTCGAGGTTGCTGATATTCTTGTTTCATCAACTACTTTGTCAATAAATCGTTAAAAAATGTTTAAACATGTACTTAGAGCATGCTCTTGTGTTTCGAATCAACTGAAAGATATAAACCCTGCATGCAGGTGATAATTGTTTGTTTGATTGTTTTTTTTTTTTGTTTAACGTCCCTTTTAAGAATTTTTCACTCATATGGAGACGCCACCACTTGAAGGTGGAGAGCGTCAAATTTTGTCCTAAGCTCGAAGCTTAGGGCAATTGAGCAGTGAGGAATCATTTTAATGCCACGTCCATTGCGACATAGGGCCTCGGTTTATACTGTCTCATCCGAAGGACTGGTTTCCATGTCTGACAGTGGGATTTGAACCCGCGACATAAGGATCGTGTAAGTCCTTACTTCACGACTCTAGAGCAGACGCCCTTACTACTGCGCCACGCCGATGATCAATGTATATTTATTGTTTTATAAATAAGGGAAGCTGACAACTTAAAAGTCAAAGTTTCCACGTTTATCATAAAGTGTTGTTGTTATATTTTCATTAAGGTCTTTTTCTTGTATAATGAAACATATGGAGATAACAAACAGTATTCAAGAGCAAAAGTCCATAAAACAATACAAAATAGGAGCACAGCAAACACGGACCTCCAAATCCAAAACATCAGAGGTGGGATCAGGTGGAGTGAGCATCCCCTGCCGATCGGTCACACCCGCCGTGTGCTCTTTGTCATGATCGGGAAATAAGGGAAAATCCGTCGTTAATTCATTGTATAAATAATGGACTTACAATAAGTATGAAGATATCAGCATTTGACTCATTGATAAACTGTATTTGCTGACAAGGTCATTGTATCGACCATAGAACGAAATTATGACTTTAAACGAGACTGCTGAAATTCTTGTTTCATCAACTGTTTGTCAATAATTTACCTCGTTTTAGAAATTGTTTAAGATATGATTTGAACAATTCTTATTTTGTAATAAATACATAAATGGCAGTAGGTATAGCACATATAAGCCCTCTCCATAAATTGTTCATACGTAGAGCATGCTCTTGTGTATTGAATCAACTGAGATATGTAAACTCCGTATGAAGGTGATGAAGGTATATTGCTGCATAAGTAAGGGAAGTTGACGATTGAAAAGTTAAACTCATTAGGTTTATCATAGAGCTTGGTTGTAAGATTACCATGAACATCTTTTCCAAAGTAAAATATCCAAATATGAAACATATATCAGTCTTTCTGGTATCTGTTACCGGTATTTCAAGCCCACCGGAATATACGCGGGTTTGTTAAGGCAGCACACGGATCAGAATTCGGCGAATTACCACTTTTTTTACAATATGTAACAACAATAAATCAGAAAAGTCATGGATAAAATTTTTGCTATCATTTTGCATTCTATATACTTCAATGAGACTTATACTACAGGAAGCACTTCACCACGACGTCACCACGTGACGTCTATAATTAGAAAAAAAATGCCTTAATGAAAAAGTGAAAAGTTCAACACTACTCCGGGGATAATTAATTTTAATTTGTAA